TTCTCTTTCTCTTTCTCTCTCTGTGTGAGTCTCTCTCTCTCTCTCTCTCTCTCTCTGTGTGTGTATGTGTGTGTGAGTGGTGGGTTTCAAAAATTTTTGGAACCTCTTCTGTAGGTGTGGCCTGCTTTCTTGGTCCACTGGTGGAACCTCTTCTAACCGGTTCGGTAGATTTGATGAACTGGTGCGAACTGGTAGGAACCCACCTCTGGATTGCGCTATATAGGAGCTTTTTTGCCAACTAACATTTGAAGCGAATTTTCTAACTATCACAAAAACAAGTTAAAGAGACATTCTACAAAGGATGAAATAAACAATGCTACAGCAGATAACAGAAGCTGGCCAAGCGTAGTTGCTTTGGGAAGTTAAGCAGAATTTGGTCTGGTTAGTACTCAGAGGCAGCATGATGGCTTAGCAGTTAAGACACTGAGCTTGTCGTTTGGAAAGCCAACAGCCCGGATTCGAGACCCAAACATTGCAGGACAATGATCTTCATCTTGCTCCCGCCCACCTAGCCGTTCAAAAGCATACAAATGCAAGTAGATAAACAGATACCACCTTGACGGGAAGGAAACAGTGTTACACAATGTCATACTGACCACATGACTGGTGAAACCTCTTCGGACAGCGCTGGCTCATGGCCTCGAAATGGAGATAAGCACCACAACCCCCTTCTACGGTCGTTGGCAACGATTAGCAGAATAAAATCTGCAGGGACTACTTCTTATTCAGATGGGAGACTATCTGGGATTTTTCAGAGCTGCAGGATAGATTGAGAATTTGGAGGGGAAAAAAAACATTATGGAAGAAGGCAGTAGTAACTGGCAAGAAAGACCAAAAGTTAAACTCAGCTTGAAGGACTTTTCACCTTAAATAAATTGTAAGGATGAGGATCTTGATATCTCTTCGCTGTTGTTTCATATATTGCAATACTATTACATGTATTGCTTTAAGGATAAAAAATAAACATAAAGAGCTATATGGATTCACCCGTGACCCGACAAATGCGCGCACGACAATAGCGCACTGACAAAACTGCGGCGAGAAAACCGTGGCGTCATAACCGCGCCCACAACAACGCGCCGACAAAACCACGCCCACAAAAGCGCGATTTAAGTTAAGGTAAGGGTTAGGGTTAGGTTCAGGGTTAGGTTTAGGGTTACGGTTATTACGTTGTTTTCGTTGTTTTTGGGTGGCGCGCTGTCGTCAGCGTGCATTTGTCGGCGCGCTTCTGTGCTCATTCGTCGGTGCGATTTCGACCTCG